ACCATGCCATCACCTCTATTAAACACCATCAGAACCAAAGACTTCTTTTATTTATTCATTTTTATAACAAAAAAATAAAATAAAAGATTTTGCCCGTTAAAATTAACATCGAACTTGGCTTATTTTCACAGCAGCCACTTAATACGGAGACAAGTGAGTGGGTACATTATATCCTCCTGTATTCTCATTATTCATGACATGAGGCATAGCTCACTTTAAAAGCGGGTAAGTACTTTAGAATGCCAAATTTATTACAGCACGCCATTATTGCTTGTGGCCAGAAATATAGTATTATAGGGGATTTTCACGAAAAATGGCTTAAGAAGATTATGCTGAAGTTCAATACAGATAACTTAGCTATCAAAAGGTTAAAGTTATTTATTGATTATAGAAATTTCCTAATTAAAAATATTATTATCGCTATGACTACCTCCGTAGCCGAGTGGTTGGTATGCTGGGTTTCAAGATGTCGCCTTATCAGGAGGAGGGTTCGAATCCTGGTGGGGGCAGATGTTTGTGTGGTGAATACGAGCATTTGTACTCCAGTCATGGATGTTTGAGATGTCTTTCTATATACGAGTAAATATAATTATATATGTATCGGTATATGTATTCTATCCATTACCCCAGTATCCTATAACATAAGCCTACAGTGCTTACTTTGGAGCTAGGCTATTTTGTATTTTTGTATTTGTAATTATTATCTTTATGATCGGATCTTGATACTAAGCAGAGCAAGTATTATGATTTCTACTGTAGCTTTAGCAACAAACAATCAACCGAATCAATTCTGACCAGGCCTTACTTACCTTACTTTGGGCTATTACCCCTGTTCCCACCGACATGACCCATTGGTTGGTCCACAGCCATTTTTACCCATCGTCCCACCGTTGTAAACAGTGTTCGCCAGTGCATCCACGGGTAATATATTTTTACCTCGCCCACCGCACTAAGTGGTAAACATTCGTTTCAGACTATAGCTATTTCGATCAAGAAATTAATATAAACGAGGTCATAAAACCGTGTCTCGATAGGTACTCGCTACATATTTAAGAGCGGTACCCTTAGCACGAACCAATCGATCGATTATCGAATTCGTATCGTTTGTAAGTCCGTAATGTCATTGTAAAATTTTGTATGGAAACTTGAACAGCGGCGCCATAACGTACGTAACGAGAACTAAAAATCAGTACACATTTGACAATGACATTTCGTACTCGCAAACGATACGAATTCGATATTGGTTCGTACTAGGGATACGGTACCCTTAGCACGAACGAAATGTGTACTGATTTTTAGTCCTCTTTACGTACTTTGTGCCGCTGCTGTTCAAGTTTCCATTCAAAATTTGACATTGACATTTCGCACCCGCAAACTATTCGAATTTCGATAATGGTTCGTGCTAAGGGTACGGTAGGTACATACGTTAATGTTTGAAAAAAAAGTTTAAATGTTTCATACAAAAACAAAAAAAAATCGCTACAATGTGTCATTGTCAGGAAACAATGGGAGATAGCACGAAACTGTTTGTAACAACAAAGAAAATTGGGAGAATGTCCCGCGCTTTAGTTTAGCAACTTACATTATTTAGGTCGGCTACAGTACGAAGTGGTCAACACCATTTTGGAGCAAAAACTTTTGCAACAAACGACAATTTGTTGTGTTTATTTTTCTCAGCGATCTGTAGCACAAAATAGGGAGTACAGAAGGTAATCTCATGTATATGCTTCACTTTACATACCTACGCTAGGCGGTCGCCTAGGATTTTTTTAATCGATAGGGCCAATAAATGACTCCTCCACGCCTGATGTTAAGTGACGGTGAAGTCCAGACGCGAAGATAGCTAATATAACAGTTCTTCCTGCCACACCAGCCATCCTCACTCTGCCGGCCTGCATGTTGCTTCTTTACGCCTCTTTTTAAGGTTGTAAGAGGCAGGCAACACGTGAGCGAGCAGAGCATTCCATTAACGGATAGTGCGACAAATAAATGAGTCACCAAACTTCTTTGTACGTGGTGGAATAGTGGCCACAGTTAGTCGGTGGCAACGTAGGCCAGCTTGCTCGGTCCTCTGAACGAAAGGGGAAGGTGGAATAAGAGAGAATAACTCCTCAGAACACTCGCCGTGGTACAGACGATACAACGCGCTTATTGACGCCACGTCATGTCATAATTGAAGAGGCTCGAGGTGTTTAGTCACCTCCTCATCGCCTATATGTATGTCAAATACATATGAATAAACATAAAGAACAAATGAGCGGTATTGACCCAGTTTACAACTCTGCGATGACGCGAAATTTTGCATGTACATACTTACTGAACAATTTTATGTAGATTTAGTTTTTTTGTTTATATTATTATTTTATTGTGCGATTGATTATTCAAAGTAGTTAAGATCTTTTTGCCTGAAACACAGGATATTCTTAGTTTAGGTTATGTATTTTTCTTTACCTTTTGTGTTTTTACCGTAGATCTAAGTCACTTATATGTAAAAATCAATACTGAATAAAGATTTATTATTTATATTAATATTATTGTGTTGCTTCTTTAGTGTTTAAATATTCATTTCGGGTCAGTATTTCCTGATAAATCAATTGCTACTGAGCATGTGTCCCAATTAAATCATATTTATAAATCATCATAAAACTTGAACTGGTGTTGTAAGATAAATCTTCCATATCTATTACCAAATTCTTAAAGACAAGTGAGAAAATGATGTTTGCCTATTTGGTTCTAAATTCACCTAATAATTAAAATTCATTATCTTTTTTTTACAAAATCCTCTTTTAGAGTAATAATGATATTATTTTTGAGTGTTAGGAGTTAGTGTCGCCGCATACGGGCCACCGACTACAACGACAAAACGCCGCCACCGGCATATTTCTTGTAGTTTTCATACATTTTATATGGACTCGCCACACACGGTAAGCACTTAATGCGCCGATACAAAACGCCGCCAAACGTCACTCGCGCGATTCCCCACCCCTCTCTCCCTTACCTTAGTCGGCCGCTGTCGCGCGCTTCACAGCCAGCCACTTTAGTAGCCGCTTCTAGCTTCTCGTGGTGGCGTTTGTGGCTGTGGCGTGTGGCCCATGTGCGGCGACACTTAGTGTAAACTAATAACAATATAATTAAAACAATGTGAATCAATAAGCTTTTGTAAAAACAAGGAACCATGGATCCAGAGCTATTCTACTTTAACTGTCACCAGTTATTAATGATTTAAATTTTATTGTGTACAGAGAAAATCTGTAAAATTAAAAATATTGAAATTTTTACTGCTTAACGACACAATGCTGAACTGGGTCCTTTTCGGTCCAGCTGTGGATACATGTTCTGTAATGTATGTTTTATGTTGTCCGTCACTTATATATATGTGTATGTGTATAAGTTTAATAATTTTTCGGTGTCCATGACTGTTCCGAATAAATATTTTTTATATTTATATTTTTTTTCTCTTTCAAATGTTTAATACTTGTAAAAGTATTCATTAAACATTGTAGGTTACCTACACAATACGTAGCTTAAAGGCTAGAAAAATTTCAGCAGGTATCATTATTGGTCAGTGCATTCGCCCGGATAGCGAAGGGTGCGGGTTCGAGTCCCGTTTGCTGCCTGGTCCGCGTGGATTTTTTTCTGGTTATATTTTCTTTAAATTTAAATATTTTTTTATTTGATTTGTATTGTATGTTCCGCCATTGGGCACTGAACCCCAAACTCTGACCGTCTGATGTCAAGGTTGTATCCTTATCAACTGCTGTTGCTATCGAACTGGACTTGAGGTTAACCGGTTCGCTTCTTATATATCCATATGTTTCTGATAATGTGTTTGAAATTCGGGTTAAACGTTTGTCCTAGTAAATAAATAGAATTATGGGACATACTCCAATTGAGATAAAAGCAAGCAAGAAAATTAAATCGTTAAGGTGTAATGGCTGATTTACATTATCTTAGTGTTTAGGAGAGTGCTCAAGGAGAGTAATTTAGTAGAAACGTGTAAACAGTAGCTTCCAGTGACTCGCTTTAGTACAATTCCACTCGCTTTCAACTAGAAACAAAATAGGATCGGTTTCTATTTCTGTTTCCAGTGGCACCCCTCCCGCGTAGGGTTACCATATCTCAGGATTTGTCCTGAGATTTCAGGATTTTTGGACTCTTCTCAGGATTGCGGCTGGATTTTGCAAATCTCTTGAAATCTCAATATTATTTGAATTTTCAATAGAATACAGCTAACGTTTTAAAGATCTGTTTAATAAAAACTTAAACAAACTTAAAAATAATCAAAAATATATTCATACAAGAGGAGCTCGATGGCGCAAGTGGTTAGCGCGTTCGGCTGCGATCGTTGAAGTTAAGCAATTTTCGCAGTGGTCGGTCATTCGATGGGTGACCAAAAATTTACTTTCTCGAGCTCCTCCGTGCTTCGGAAGGCACGTTAAGCCGTTGGTACCGGCTGCATCTGCAGTCGTTAGCACCCACCAATCCGCACTGGGCCCGCGTGGTGGGTCATGGCCCAATCTCCCTATTCCATCCATAGGGAAGGCCTGTGCTCCAGTAGTGGGGACATTAATAGGCTGATGATGATGATGATTCATATAGAAATACATATTAAACATCCATGACTGGAGTACAAATGCTCGTATTTATCACACAAACATCTGCCCCCACCGGGACTCGAACCCGGGACCTCTCGAGACGGTGACACCATGAAACCCAGCGTACAAACCACTCGGCCACGGATTTCGTTGATAATCGAATAATCTGATGACTATGTGGCAATGAAGCCAACTTTGGCATTGGTTGCGTCAACATTATCGAAACAAACAGGAACATTATCTATAATTTTTAATCACACTACGAAACGGAAGACATAACAAGATAAAACAACTAAAACCTATGTATACTTATATACAAACAAATAATTCTAAAAAAATTGGTTATCGCCACAAGATCGTCAAAGAACGATAAATTTCGCGAGGAGTCCAACCATAGGGTGGAGGTCAAAAGTCCAAGTTCAACCCAAAACCGAAGCGAACCCGTTTCTGTCTGTCTATTAGAGTGCTGCCTACGATTCGGAGCACCCTGACCTCGTGTGCCTCGTGGAACAAAACATCCTTTTGGAAAGTAAAACCGCCGCAATGTAAGGAGTCCACGAAAATTTTCAGCTCCGACCCGTTGTAGTACTTCTTGTGGAGAGCCACGCCAACAGTCGTAGGCCCTTGAGGTCGCTCGTTGACTATTGTAGCTATTCGAAGATCAGGCGCAAACTGTTTGTACAGGCACGCCTGAAAACCCGTCCTGCTCACGGTCGTGGACAAAGTGAACGAAGACTTTTCATATCGCGCACTTACTGACAGATCGGGTATAGCAGGGAACGATAGCGGTTTGAAATTCAGCTCCGTACCCACGCTGAAATCCGGGACGATCTTGTAGATCCACTGAGTGACGAACCTTATCGTGTTCGGATCTACATTCTTGACACAACACGAGACAGAACCGATAGACTTTTCGTGTTCCCTCTCTATAACCACTTCCGTTTCTGACGACACCAGATCTTTGATCTTAGACGTGAGACGCATTTTATAGAAACCATCGAGGACTTCGGTATACGTAGCCGTTGCTGACCCAGAAGAATCCACTAAGAGACCGTCCTCCGTGTGTTTCGGCTCCATCTCTTTATGGATTAAATGATTGAAGCACTTATATGACTCTTTAGTCCTGCCGTAGTTGTACTGTTGGACTAACTTAACTTTATCCAGTATTTCCCTAAGGACATTCAGCTTAGCGCCAGTGAAGCACGTCGGGAAAACACTTTTCGCCTCCGCATGGACGTCACTCAGTCTTATCAACTTTGGCTTCTGTTTCTCAATAAGTATGAACTCTTTTTTCTTCGGCAGCAATTTCTGTAGACTGCTGACGAAACTACTGACCTCCTCCTTGATCATATCCTCGTTTATGTCCATTGTTGGTTGATAAAAGTTGTCGGTTTGCTGGGTAACAGACCAAACGTCATTGACCTGTCTGATTGTATTTTTAACTGGCGTTGAATATGCCGCGTGTCCGGCCAGCGATCGTCGCAAGGAGACTGAATTTATTTATATCGATTCACAGTTGCTTAATTTGAAAGCTCGAGTTGTGGATAATCGATTATCCACAACTCGAAGACTTTACGATCCAGTTGGCTCAAAACAAAATGCAACTGAATGTGAATGCAGTGCGGCATACACAATTTTGGATTTTAATGTCATAAGGTTACAATTGATATACATGACTTTTTGGTGATTTAATTTATGGAAATCGGATTTTGCTTTAAAATTTCATACCATGATATAAATAAACTAAAAATTATTGAATGTTAAACAAACGCTCAAATACTAAAACTAAATAAACGAAACGAAATAATAATATTATTCTAAACTTTCACAATCTCGCTACTATTCTTTTTGTAAATCCTAATAATCTTCGTGAAGATATCGCCACAAATACTCATAACATTCCCAAACAGCTAAAGCAATTTAATATCTCTAATACGGCACCTGATACGAAAACTAAGATCTCCAGGGATTGTAACCCTTTTAACAAATTGATACATCTGTAGGATCAGCATCCCCAAATCCACTGGGGCACGAACAATCGTATATTATCAACTGTAATAAAAACTTACAAACAACGCGAGTGTGGCCGGTACCATTGGCTATTCCTTGTGAAAGATAATAAAATATCTGACCTTATTTTATTAGGCACAGGAAAAAATATAAATAATGTTTTTTTTCTATAAAAAAATTGTAATTAGTGACCATGGACTAAGTATAATAAAGTTGATCCTATGCGAAATCCTAGGTCCACGTGTGTGTGACAGTGGTTTCAAGGTTTCAGGTTTCGAATTTTCGGAAATTACGATAATCGAAAAATCTGAGCGTAGCAAAATCCTAGGTCCATGGTAAATTCTTTATTCAGGTATAACATTGCTTTGTCTGTTTCTCTTAAAAATGCAGTTGTATAACACTTTTAAAGAAACATTTTCTTTTCTTTTTAGGTGTCATCAGTTTGGGCTTCTGTATTTACCTATTGAAGATCTGCAGGGGAGATACAGCATCTAGCACATTCTATGTTTATATTTATACTAGCTGTGCCCCACGTTGTTACCCGCGGTTTATTAGCGATATTTTCCCGTAGTAATACGTAGCCTATGTGTTAATCCAGAGTGTCAGCTAACTCCATACCAAATTTTATTAAAATCGCTCCAGCCGTTTAGACGTGAAGAAGTAACAAACATACACTCACAAACTTTCGTCTTTATAATATTATTGCACTCCCAGTCTAGCATACAAGGATTACATATTTATTTTGACATTGATATGGTTTTACAGTTTCCAAATTTTCTTTTACTTGATATTCAATGTAAGTAGTTAAATTTTCAATATAATTTTATTATAAAATCTTTCCGCGTTTCATTATGAAAATCGAAATGAAATTTAATTAAAATGCCTTACTGCGATTGCCTTAATGGTCAAATAGGAGTTTCAGCGAAACAGGAGTATCGATTTAATTAGTAAAGTTCTCTTTGTCAAAAGCCTTTTAGAATTTATAATGGTCATAAAATTTTAATCCTAAAGGCAACTTAGAGTGATCGCTCTAGAGTTAGGTAGTTCGTTATTGAATTTCATTATGATTTATTGCGCTTGCCTTGCTAATCATTGAGATTATAAGATACTAGCAGCCGCGCGTGACTTCGTCTGCGTAAACTTTAGTTCTTTGAGCGTCCCACAGGAACCATCGCATTTAGAATATTAGAAGGAATTAGGATCATCAGTCTGTTAATGTCTCCACTGCCCTTTCCTATGGATGGAATAACTGAATAGGGAGATTGCACCGTGAACTAGCACTCGGGCCTAGTGCGGATTGGTGGGTGCCAACGACTGCAGTGGCAGCCGGGGCCAATGGCTTAACGTACTTTCCGAAGTATGGAGCAGCTGGACATAATAAGATTTTGGTCACCCGTCCAATGACCGACCATTGCGAAAGTTGCTTTAATTCTACAATCACAGGCCGGATGCGCTAACCATATTAGAATAATAATGTGGAAGATTTATTGTGGCGTGTGTGATAGCGATTGTTGAGTAGAAAATCCACTATGCAGACTATGCTATATTATATTCTTTATAAGTCCAACAATCACTTCTTGTCTGCCTCAGAACACAGAAAGTGGTTAGAAGGGTGATCATAGACCTGTAGCGGCCAAAAGCGCTGCCGCTGACGCTGCCACCTATAAATTGCGCCTGAGTCGGGAATCATACTGCCGTAAATTCTAATTGTATAGTGTGTACTATTCAATAGCACATACCTACAGACAGTTTGTAGGGTAACCGATGTAGATGTCTCACCCTCACTACACTCCCATCGATAATAATAGTCAATCAAACGACGCGGCATCAAACAATCGAACCAATCAGAGCTTACCGCCGAGCAACGACGCAATTAGAACCAAGTTTTGGTTAAGTTATGAGCACAGAACCGTGGCGTGCCTACACCGCCCACAAGGTTTTACTAGCCTTATTCTTTTCTTAAAGAAGCTTTATCTGTAAAACTTTTCTTTAGATTTAAACATCTAGCAGTTAAATGCTTAAAAAAATAAAAACATGACTAGAATTGCTATTTCTTCTTTTAAATGTTTAATACTTGAAAAAGTATTCAGTTGACATTGTGGGTTACCTACAATGCGAAGAGATGGCGCTGCCTTGCAGCTTAAGGCTAGGAAAATTTCGACGCGGCCATCAGGGCCGTGGTAGCATAATTAGTCAGTGCATTCACCCGGATTGCGAAGGTAGAGGGTTCGAGTCCCGTCCGCTGCCTGGTCCGCGTGGATTATTTTCTAGTAAAACTTTTCTTTAGATTTAAACATCTAGCAGTTAAATGCTTAAAAAAATAAAAACATAAGCTTTATCTGGCTCTGAGTAGAATTGATAAAATGTCTAAGATTATTATTCAAGAGCTGAATGGTGATATAGTTAAAATATTGGTGGAAATGCTGAAAAGTATGCCAAACTAGCCAACCACACAAGGCCTACCTGATGGCAAGCGGCCGTCATAACCTATAGTCGCATGCGATACCGTTCAGTACCTACTCCTTACATCCTCCAACGCGTAGAACCCTTGAACCTTACCCATGGCCAGCAACATAACACCCGCCAAAAGTTCTATTACTTCACTGTGGTGTGTGCTGTGGTGATTTCATTAATTTATTAATTCACTTCTATAAATAACCAGTTTCCCCATTTCAATATTAATTGGGTGCTATTTGAACCCAGCTGATGCCTCATTTGTTAAACAAATCGTAAGCTATCGTTCCTTGTGAATGAACGGTGTTCTAATTACAACGGATCTGTATTGTTTCAGCTATGAATTAGTGACGTCATTAATAACTTGAGGATCTCGATGATGCAGGGACCAAAGAGATTCCTAGATGCAGACTGTTTAAAGTGCCTTCCTCATCGGCTCACTACGTTCTCGTTTCGCTTTTGTTTCTGTACCGAATCTGTACAGATTCTTTACCCAGCGCATACACACTTCACTGCACCGGGAGCTACCGAAATAGTCGACTCGCTCACGCGACGTGACAGCACTACACTACACTACACCGGACGACCAGGCGCGGCGAGGGCTTCCACCCTTATGTTGTCGAAGTTCCTCCCATTCGCACGAAGCGATTATGCGAACGGCTAGGGAGTGGAACTCCTTGCCGAGGTCTGTTTTCCCGGACCAATATAATCTGGACATCTTCAAGGCCCGAGTGAACAGGCATCGTCTAGGCAGGCGTGTACCATCCTAGGCCTCATCATCACGTTCCATCAGGTGAGATTGTGGTCAAACGCATTGCCTTATGCATAAAAAAAAAACTATTTCAAATGCCTAAAACTGTACCAAACTAGACGAAAATCGTAGCAAAGTACAAAACCATACCGCACCGAAACCTAGTAGGCGTGAAGTGGTTCTTGGTGAAAAATCTGTACAGATTCGGTACAGAAACACAAACGGAACGATCCGGTGAGGAAGGCACCTAAGTTATGGAGGTGCGTAAGATAGTTTTTTTTCTGAATCAAATCGAAACTTTAAATGGATATTCGATATCGGATTCCGAAACTATATATTTTGATATCGGTGAGAACTATATCAATCATTATACATCATTACAGGATGAGTACAACTATATTTCCCTGATACTGATAAAAAAATATGATTTCAAACCCCCTGTGCTGCCAAACTAAGGGTCTGCGTGGTGGGTCATGGCCTGTTATCCCTATTCCATAAATAGGGGGAAAGATTTATGCCCCAGCATTGGAGACATAAACAGGTTGATGTTGTGGCTTTTGGAATGATTTGAATTGGAATGTAGACGAGTTTTGTGGAGCTACCCATACGCTGCTGCAATATCAGTTATTATGTACGATGTGAGACAAATGTTGGCGAGGGACAATGTTGATAAAGGACGACGGCGATAGGCAAGCGACATCGACCAATGACAAGGCAAGACCAATATCCGGCTTATACGTTGGCGTTGGAGGAGCTCGATGGCGCAGAGGAGCTCGATGGCGCAAGTGGTTAGCGCGTTCGGCATCGATCGTTGAAGTTAAGCAACTTTCGCAGTGGTCGGTCATTGGATGGGTGACCAAAAATTTACTATCTCGAGTTCCTCCGTGCTTCGGAAGGCACGTTAAGCCGTTGGTCCCGGCTGCATTTGCAGTCGTTAGCACCCGCCAATCCGCACTGGACCCGCGTGGTGGGTCATGGTCCAATCTCCCTATTCCATCCATAAGGAAGGCCTGTGCCCCAGCAGTGGGGACATTAATAGGCTGATGATGATGATGACGTTGGCGTTGGTACATCTTGGCTTTCGCTTGGCCAACTTGTATCATCATCATCAGCCTATTAATCTCCTCACTGCTGGGGCACAGGCCTCCTCTGT